GAGTCTTTTTTATTTTACTCACTGATACGTTCATAAAATCATAGAATCAAATCATAGAATCATTTAGGTTGGAAAAGACCTTTAAGATCATTGAGTCCAACTGTTAACCTAACACTGCCAAGTCGACCACTAAACCAGGTCCCTAAGTGCCTCATCTACATGTCTTTTAAATACCTCCAGGGATGGGAACTCAATACTTCCTGCTACTATGTCTTTCTTCAAATATGGTAATTTGTCCTAAAATATAGAAGTTTTAGCTGACCACAGTTATCCCTGAGAAGTGACTTGTTAGCATAGCAGGTTTTTTTACAGGAACAAACAGGTAATTAGATGTCGCCTATAAGGTCATGTAGGAAAATATTAATAGTCATCATCACTAATGCAAAGTAAACATTAACACTATAATCACTACTACTATGGTTACCAATAACTGTGTAATGATTTATTACAGCTTTATCCCAATTTAAAAATAGCAATTTATGTGCTAATGAGATAACGTAAAATATCATTATAGAGTAATTTCAAAAAATATCTCATTACCGTAGAGCCAATCTTATTAGTCTTTTGCATTCAGAAGTCTTGTGGAACTTAGACAGAGTTTAAGTGGCTACGTATTTCTGGAATAGAGCTCATATTGTGTTTGTTATGGGGTTGCGTGCCTTCTAAAAATCTAGTGCTAATTGCTTTGCTTCTATAAATATGTGTATATTGATCTATAACATTTTTACCACTGCTGTTTGGAGTAAAACCAGAATAATTTAGACCTGTGAGTTGCTTGAACAATGTAAGAAATGTTAACTCTCAACAAAAATTAATTTTAATTTTATTTTAAAATTTATGAGAGCTCAGCTAGTTCTACTCATGTTTAAATTAGCTTCCAATAAAAATATTTCTAAACATTAAACTTTAAAAAATAATTCTAAATATTTATGATTTGTTCAGGAACATAAATGCTATTTGGACAGACTTCAAATGTGGAGGAAGCTTTCTGTAGGAAGCAAACAACGTGGTTTCATTCATGAAAGCATCAATTCTGAGTAGCAGAGATCTATCAAAAATTAAGAGCTATTTTAAAAGGACAGGATAATTTAAAGTACTAAATAAGCATAATAAAATGTCAGGAACTTATTGCAGATTTTTTCCCTACGTGACTTGTGAGATTATATAACAATCCCTTTGTTCATTTCCTCAGAAGTCTTTTAAAATTGTCCTGATTTATCTGCCAAGTTTTTTACACACATGATCAGCTTGCATATGTCCAAGAATAAAGTATTCACGGATTTTATTGGGATTAGAGCTCAGGTGCTGTTTATTTCACCAGTGTAAATCTATAAAGCAGGACTACACAAATCTTATAGGTGGCCTGCATAAGTATTTGTGATCAGGGCATTGCTCTAGCTGTTTCTGCGTTTTGTTGTTGTCCAGACGTACCTGACCTAGCTTTACACTGACTGTCTAAGTGTTCACCTGGCTTCTTAAGTGAACTTTGCAGGCAGCCTTGAACTCGAAACTCCTGTGGCTAGGCGTCTTTTGAACTGTCTAAAGTTTGTAGACAAATTTCACTCGAATGTGTCTTTGCAATGTGATAGTCACAAGGCTGACTGGAGTATAAACACTTCATCTGTCTCAAAGCCATGGCATTTGGATCAGATGGGGACTATTAGCTAAATATTGGCATGACCTTAGTTTTGTTTGCAGATATTTTGATTGGTTTGAAAAATTCCCTCCTCAGTTAAAACCAACATGTTTGAAGATGAAATGATTGTGATTGATAAGCAGTTAGCTAACCTTAGATAGCACCGTCTAGCAGCATAACACTGCAGTTACTTGGATGTGCTTACATTGTCTTTTAGGGAAAGTTAACTACTATATATTAAAGAATACTTCAAAGAACTTTGAGAAGGTTGGTACATTTGTTGACAACCTTTAATTGCTCTTCTGCATGTGATATATACATTGTTCTGCCAGTAATTTTTCTAAGTTTCTGACATATCTTTAGAACTATTTTGGGCTGATGCCAATATCAAAATGGTACTGGAGCTGAGTATCCATTTGTAATCTTATTGCCAACTTTTAGTGAGGTATTAACACTTACGTTGTTCAATCAACAAGGCTGTGAGGAGTGCAAGAAAAAAAAGCTCCATCTGCAGCTCAGCAACTCCATGCATGGCTTAAATCAGTCCATGAACTGGGTGTTCACAAATGCATCTAGTATACAGAAAAACTGAGCAGGCCTTGAAGTAATTGGTAAAGTAACTATTGATGTCTTACATGAAACTTAGTTTATTTTGAAGATTGGTAGAGGGCGAGTTCTTTCTAATAAGACACGATAACTTTAAGACTCAGTTATTTTCATTTTCATAATGCATTTTAGATGAAGTAACCTTAAAATCTTTGCCTCATTATGGTTGATATTTTAAAATAAAATCCCATGATAATTTATACCTGATGGTTCTCCCAATTTATACCTGTTTATACCCATGAGAGACCGTGTGCAACAAGAACTGTACTCTTCTGTCTTTTCTTTCAAAACCTGAACACATATTTACCATACAATCGTATTACAATTGTATTTTCTGCCTCTGCCTAGGAAAAAAAACCATCATTCAAAGGAACTTTCAGTCTTTTTTGTTGTTGTAGTGATATCATAGCTTACCTGTAATTTTTTTTTTTTTTATTTTTAATTTGAATTTCACTGGGAATGTCTGAGGCTAGATGCTGATTTAATTTGACATAAGAAGTGGCTTCTGCTTAGTTTTCTTCTGTTTCAAGATTAGATCTTTACTGTGAGAAAGACCAAATTCTCTTCAGCACTACCAAGCAGTGCTTCATTTTTCACTGGAAAAGAGTTTGGCCCAGCTCATTCAGGAGAAATTATCATCTCAGAATCTATTTATATACTTAACTGCAATGATTAAACAAAAATGGATTCCAAGCACTGTGTTCCGGTTCTGAACTTTGTCCATGATCCTGCCAAGATTCAATTGCATGCCAATTTGCATCACTAAGTCTAGTTCCATTAATGTTCACCAGAACTCCTTAGTGTTGAACTTCCAGCTATGTATGTGCATAAGCCCTAAAAAGATCAGAGCCCTTTATTCCATGTATGCTGTCTTGGTAAAAGAGCAAGCTGTAGTTCCCCGCTATTACCAATTCCTATGTAATGACATTTATTACTGCATTTTCAGGCAAGTCTCATTACCAGAAGCTGCTAGACTCCTATTTAGTTATTAGCTGGGTACAATTACAGTTGCATTAATCAGTTGTGCTTTGTCAGCTGAGTTCAGATTTTCTTTTGCTGAAGGGAAGATTCAAGTTTATAAGACAGTACTTCAGACAATTTGAAACCATGACCTTAAATAACCCTGGATGTTCTGACCATATGCAGTCAAAGAAGTGTGTGGTACTTAATGAATTAGAGAGAATGGTTATCACCTTTAACCATTTGTACCCACTTTAATGTCTGTTTTTGCAACATTAGGTCTAGTCTTCCTAATGATATGTACACATCAAAGTCTTACATGACAGGCCAGCCTGCTTGTTTTTGCAGAACCATCTAACTTTTCAGGTACTTTAAAACTCCTCAGCATTCCATTATTAGTCTGAAATTTGGGGGATGCAGGCAAAAATTATTCATCTTTACATGTGAAGATTCCTGTCTATTTTCAGCTTTCTGCTGGATGGCTTCTTAAGCTTTAGACAAATTAACTGTTATCCACCTGAGATAAGCTTCACACAGAACTGTAGCATTTAAGTGTTCCTTACTTCTCTGCTCAGTAGCTTCCCTGAGGGAAGCTCTCTGAGTTTTGAGTGGCTGATGTACCTGCATTTCCTCATTCTAGGGGGCTTGGGAGCTGGTGCAAAAAGTCCCAAGTTCAGCATAGTTCCCAAACTTCAGTGGTTTGAATTGCTCTCTGGAGATTTTTGAAGACCATGGAGAGGGGAAGGTGCCTCTATGGGAAAGGGAAATGTCTAACAGAAGCTGTTGGCCTACTAGGTCCAAGTTTGTGACAGTTCTGACTATGCAGGTTAGAACAGGATTTATACTTACTTAGTTTTGGGTTGGCTAACCCTGGAGAAAGTAAAACACCAATTCAGATCTCAATTTAGCGGTTAATGTATACCCTGTAGGGTCAGAAGGAGGGCATTATAAGTAAAAAAAACCAACATGTCTTTCAGTGTAAGAGTAGCATCATTTTAGAGTTAAGCTGTGTCACCAGTAAGAGCTATCTGAATAATGTTCAGC